ATTATCCCAATTATGCAAAATTTCATAGGAGTAGTCAAAACCTTAACAAAAAATTCATTCTAGTATTTGTATCTAATATTTGTTAGGATAATGTCTTTTTTTATTTATTCGAATGTCATTACTACTATGCCTCATACTCTGAGGTCTTAAGGAGTGGTTGAAGGCCAACCACTTGCAGACGGATACGATTCTATTTAGACGATAGTAGGAGTTTGAAGCTCGGCTCAGGACGTTGTAATTACGATCGCCGTTGGAATGGGCCATGGAGAGAATACAGGGGATATCATAATATCATCATTCTTGTGTATTCAAACGAGGTATGAACTCTGTGAAGCAGATATTTGATGAAAAAGTATCCATTGTAATGTAATAAGTACGTAACTAATGAATGGCAAATAATGTATTATAACTGATTATGTCCAAACTCAAGAATTTTACCTCTTTCTCTTTTTTCTTTAGTGTAGATGCAATTGCTTGATTTATTACGTAATGTATTTAAATTTATTCGTGTTCTTCATTTTCAATTATATAATATAACTTCTTCCTACTATCACGGTATATTTTTACTACGCACAGTGTCATAGACGCTATGCGTAGTATAAATATACCGTGATGTATTCTAAGTACGTAGATATATAAAAATAGCAACGCAGGTAAATTTCCCTTTGCAGACTATATAACCGGGATATGAGCATTAGGTGATTCAGCGTTAATAGTTTCATAGGTTTCTAGTTGGTACATTCAGCTGCATATAGACGGGGTTATTCGTAAAGTGGGAATCTGAAATTTTAATAATTGATCACGTGACCGCGCAGTTGCTTTTAAAAATTCTTCTCAATTTTTACTTGGGCTTTATGTTATTAATAAAAAAATCAGAAATGTAATCACTAGGTTTTGGTTTACCCGTTTATGAAGACCTACCAGAAAGTCGTTACTGGTGATGAAAATGGTCTTAGAGAACACAAATTAAAAATAAAAATTATAGATTTTATTAGAATAATAAAATATAGAATATCCAAAGTTGTCAATAATATCTTGGCAATACGCATTTCAAACAAACGAGTGATGATGTGATGCGATGTATACATTTGAAAGGATGTCAAATGGTATTCTTGAATACTTGTCGGCCGAAAATTACAAATGTATTAAGTGAAAAATCTAGAAATGCAAATAAACTATATACCTTAATAATTTACAAAAACAAATCCTTTAAAGTGATATTGATGGTTTTAAAGATCCTGTAAATTAAATCTAACAAAGAAAGGGCACAACTACTAGGTATTGCTTATTAAATAGGTATTGAACATTTCTGAAATAACGGTCTTGGGTTTTTTTTAATTTTTATAACTATCTTTGGAATTCTCGAACCAATTTCAGGTTTAAGTGTTATTTACACCTAAAAATTTTCCAGTTTCTTTTATACCTACCATGTTATCATAGAACGTAAAAAACTAATACAAACTTATCTAACGCACTTTACGTATATAAGTAAATATTAGTTAAAAAAGGATAGCATAATGCAACTTAAAAATGTTAGAGGGTGATGAAATATTCACAGTATTTTAACATGTTTAAGGGGAATAACAGAGTCTTGAAAAAACCGAGCATTAGTCGTTATTATTATTAGGTATGGTTCATGGCAATATATTAAGTAGGTTGTTTAAACAAACAGTAAGTATTAAGGCAACAGCTTATTCTTTATATTATTTTACCTATTTATTTTGAGTGTCTTCAAAACGAAATTGATTTTATTGGTATATTCTCAATTATAATATTCATCATCGTCTGTCAACCAACTAATAATTGCACAAGCTCCATGTGGTCTTGTTATAGGATTCTTATTGCATTTCAGAAGTTCGATCAACTAATAAATATCGCAGCTAAAATGCGATTTTATTAACCGACTAGCTGTACACGCGATTTCGTCCACGTGTAATTTAACTTTATTTTTCTAAAATAAAAGTAGACCAAGTTACTCCTTATTACATCAGCTACTTGTAAAAAAAAATGTTATTTTGATGTATTCACGTAGTAAAAAACGGTTATTTCAATATTATAAACATACACTCCAATTTTATTTATATGTATAGATATACAGGACATTATTTGAGCCAAAAGGGTGATGAATTTTAAAACGGAACAATTGAAATGACTTTTTAACTTCATCAGTTATGCTGGTACATTGTTACGTGTATAATGTAAAAAGTCATCTGGGTCTAAAAAGCAACCTATTTCAGCTGCCAAGTCCTCTGGAATGGCAACATATGAATGTCACATAATGTGGTGTACGTAGTGCAGTTCAAGTGTATGGACAACTGTTACACCTTCCCTTACTTACCATCAAGTGTACCGTCAGCTCGTATGACTTTTCAAATACATAAAAATGAAATAAAACCAGACAAGATTATGATCGATAGAAGATGAAGAAGTGCTGTAGTACCACCTCCTAATTTTAATCTTTAGGCTGCAGATTTAAGTACCTTCCAGGTAAAATCCAACAAGTTCCAGTTTGATGAGTTTATTTCCGTTCCTATCATTATACTACCTCATGAACTACAAGGAAGTAATTGTTGCACTAAATGAACGAACCCTTATATTTTGTGATTACTGCAATAGTATGAGACATTGGTTTGCGGGAAATGATGAATCATTTTAGTATGTATAAGCTCGGAATATGAATCAGATATAGTAGAAAAATAACTTAGGTAAACAACTTGGTAATTTACCAGGTACTTAACCTCATTGTTTTTTGCCGGCAAACTGCATACTTTGCTCGCTCTATGGCCATTTCAACGTTAGAATACTGCAGTAAAATGACTGAATGAACACGATGAGTGTAGAAAATAATACCTTGGTCCTAATGAAAAAATAATAGGTGTTTTGGGATAGGATATGGCAGCTTTATTGGTCTCTATATATACCTGCACCCGTTAAACAATCGACTGATTCAGTAGTGTAAAACGTGTAGAGTAAAACGAGGCTCTTAATTAGGATGTCCCATAGATTGTCACTATTATTTGATGACTATTTTATAGGTAACTGACGGTTATTACTTGCAACCAAAGATCCTTCCGCTTGATTGATACTCTGCAGAATAAAAAATAATTCAACTGTATTGAGTTGTCACTTTTTATATATATCTTCTATAGTCCCTATTGAATAATGTGGAATGATTTAAATGAGATACAGAGGTAAAGGTCTGCCCTTTATGTACATTTACTCTTTGAACTTAGATTAGAAATGTTATTAAGACACTAATGTTCCACTTACACATGTTATAGTAAATAGTTACAGAATTACTTATTATAAAATGAAATGTATTTAAGTTGGTCTCGATTTTATAAGTTTAGGTTTTTATTTCATTATGAACTATCGAAATATTTTTGACATATTTTATACAGAAATTCGGAATTTAGATTTAATACGAGTTATGGTTATGGTAGGTGCAAAAAATGTATTTAAATTGCATGCAGTTGCGAAATTATGTGTAATCAGGAGCAACATTACCTATATCTACTCGCAATAGTCTATTTATACAAAACGGAATATTGACATGTATTATGAACGTATTTAACAAAAAAAAATGGTATTAGGGAATTCCATAATTTTCACAATATAAAAATTTTATTCATCCATCTCCATCCTCCATACGCATTATTTTCATAAAAGGTGTAATTGTACTGTAATTTAACTACACGTATTGATATAAAAATATGATGCCTAAGATAGTCTATTTTAGGGGTAGGGGGATTGTACATAAGTTGTAGTGCGATTTTATATTCCTTTGCTAGCAATCTATCAGATTTATATCCTTGCGGTCTTTTTAGGAAATTTTCATAATTAACTTCCGGTTCCGCAATAGTCTTAGTGACTACTCCTGCAAACCGGAAGTAATTTTTTAAACTTATCCCCTCACCAGATACACCGATTCATTATTTCATTATCAACAACTTTGTTGCAAACTTGTTCATTCATTCTCGTGAATCATGTATCTGTTATGAATCAAAGGATTAAAATTAGCATTATTCATAATTCTATCCATCTGGGTTACCAACTCTTAAAAATATGGGGTATATTTTTAAGAGTTGGTAACCCAGATAAAATCAATCAATTATACAGGGTTATGTTATACGATTTTTGTAATTTCAGAAGACGACAATGAAACACATTATTCATTCTAAGACCTTTTTGCTTTGAAGTACGAGTAACCTCATTACATAGTACAAAACAAAGTCGCGGTCGCTGTCTGTCCGTCCCTATGTATGCTTAAATCTTTAAAAGTACGCAACGGATTTTGAAGCAGTTTTTTTAATAGATAGAGTGATCCAAGAGGAAGGTTTATATATATAATACATGTACACCTGGGCGAAGCCTGGGCGAGTAGCTAGTCACTAATAAAGAAATTGAATTTGAAATTTTGAAATTCGCTCTTTTTCACTGTATGGACATTACAAATATCAATGTGACTGTTGCAAAGTTTAATAATTAAGTTAAACATTATCATTATATGACTAAAATAGGTGACGTGTTGGGCTCGGATTTAGATTATCGTATCAGCAAACATTCGTGGGAGAAATTTCTTTTTATTTGAAATTAGCAGTTTTAGGTTTAGTTTCCATTAGTTTAGGGTTAGCAATTCAAGTCAAGCGTGGTTGAATACTCGTGAAACTGTAACTTTTTACTTAGTAACAAAGAAATTTTCATAATAATAACCTAGAATAATTCATACAACGCCGTCTAACTCGATGCTAAGTACTTTTTCTGTACATAACATACATTAATACACATAGAAATACCCAGATCCCAATCCCAGAATACAATCGAGAACTCGCGGTCGTTGGAAAGCAAGCGGTGTTTTAAACCACTAGACCACAATTTTTAAATATTTATGATTTCTCACTATAAAATATCTTCTCCTTACTAAATAAAAATAATACTAAATACTTACCATTCTTTATCTATTTTTATTAATTATGGTTTATTATCTTTTTTTTTTTCAGACTGCTCTGCAAATATCACTTTACCAGCCATTAGCTCAATGCACGTCCATGCTGCTTCATTTCGGGGCGGATCCGCTCGTCACCGATTCCGAGAATAGAACTTGCTTCCACCTCTCCGCCGAAGAGAAATCTGATCATTTGAGAGCTATTATCAATTATTGTCATTCAAATGCAATGTAAGTTTTTTTTTAATATTTATAGTATTCACAGAATATATGACTTCGTACAGTGCTTTCTAGCGGCACTTGCGTTCTATAGTTGTATTATAGAGGGCGCTGTCGTAACAGGTAATTGCTACATATATAAAGTCAACCGGCGGCACAGCTATGCCGCCGGTTGACTCGCGTGAAATTAGGCTGAATTACTGTAAAGTTTCATCAAAATCCGTTTAGTAGTTTTTGCGTAAAAGTAAGTAAGTAGCAAACATCCATCCATACTCACTAACTATCGCGTTTATAATATTAATAAGATTTTGTTTAAGGATAACTATGGTATAATGCATCCGCGTGCAGTAACGGTATACGTTGGCGGGACACCTGTGAATCGTACAATGAGGATGAAGTTAGGCCAGTCAGCCCATTGTGGAGAATTCACTAGAAATTAGTCACGACGGTTTTCACGGCAAAACGTATACGTCGACCTGAGGTACATTGCTACCAATGTACCTCAAATTAAATTACGACACAGGAATAATTCTGGGCCATCTTACTGAGAGTAAAGTATCAATAGACTTAGTAAAAATTCCATATTTTAAAAAAATCGTATCGTAATCGAAAAACGTCCTTGGACGCCCTTTATTTCCATAGATTTTTTTTATCGGATCGACTATAATAATTTATTGGTTTGATTTGGACGTAATTATTATTGTTTCATTATAAAACAATTGATACACAAACAAAATAAATTATTGATAAACATGTGGGGCTTGCAATATTTAAAAGGCAGTACATAACGGTAATGCAATGTGGATCTTCATTTTTATTGTGCGATGCATATGTTCAACATTCTTAACACAATACAGTTGGTACACACTGCAACGTGCTCCGAGAATTATTGATTGCTATCAAACAAAAAAAAAACAATTGAAAAGACAATCGAATGTTATCATTTCAGTTGAAGTTTATCTTGAATCGGGGTAATTCCCGATTGATATAGTTCTGCTGCGATACTGTACTGTTACGGATCGAGAGGCCTAAATAAATAACTGGCGAGCCTATTTTTAAACATGTTTAACTTTAACCAACTGTTAAGAAGAAGAATACAATTTGTTAGAATTATCCGAGAATGATGGACAAGTTTGCATAAAAAATACTATTCAAACTGATTGTAAACTATGATGCCCATGCATGCTATGTTTATGTAAATAGAAAATACAAAATTAAACTTTAATTCATATATAAGCTACAGTAACTAACCATTCATGTTATAAAAGCAAATTATTAGAAGAAAACGTCCACTCTAATATACCTTTACAATGGCGTTTTAAACTATACTTTTAACTCTTATCCAAATTCATAGACTTCGAGTCCATTTAGACTATATAGAGCCTAATATGTGCAAACAATTTCAACGCAAAATGGAAGCAGTTGTGATATCAATATATAAAACTGTAAACCTTACTCGAGCAATACTCTTCTCTAATGAACTTTTATATGAAAAAATAACATTTAGTATAGACCAAACACACGTCTTAATGTTTTAGTTTATTTTACAGAAAAGGTTTGAAAGTTGAAGGATTTAGTAATATCATAAATATACCTAATAAGACCGTAATCGAGTGAATATTAAAGAAAGACAGTTTCTGCATATTCTACTTATAGATATATGTTACCGAATTAAAACAATATTAAGTTTTTTTAATGTGGCTTTCGCTGACTTCGGAAACTTCACGTAATGTCTAGTGTATTTTTCATTCCAAATTCTATACAACCTATTATTAGTGCCACGCATTTGTACGTACGTAACTTACAATATAGACGATTATTTAAAAAGTGACCAAGTATGGAACTCTTCAGGTAGTTCATGTAAAAATGTAATGTTTGGAATATGCGTATGGTTTATCTATTACTCAGTGCAGGTTTAGCCACGTCAGCTTTTTTATTAATTCTACCATTTATTGTATAATGTTTATGTTACTAACACTTCGGCGAAAGAATTTCAGATGGTTCAACGTGGTTTCAATTTATTAAGTAGAAAGTATAAATACAGATGTACTAATAGGACAAGGAATTTTCAGTAATATTTTGTAACACTTTTAAAGTAGACATAGATGTTTGTAATCTACACGAACTCTTAAAATAAATGCAGATAAAATAGGGATTACATATTATTTTTCTTTTCAGCCGGATCATAAAAGAAAACGAGGAGTTCTGGAAACCTCAGCTAGAGAACAAGTCGAAGGAAGAACAGGTTCAATACTTGTTTGACAAACTCAGCCGGATGAACGATAATCAAGGTATAATATACTTTAATGGTTATTGTCACTCACTTGTAATGTACATGGAGTACTTAATATGTAATAATAATAACTTAGGACAATTCAAACAGCGCCAACTAGTCGCAAGCTAAGCAGATTTTGTGTTATGATACTAGACAACTGATAAAATCCTTATATATATATATATATATATATCCTTATCTATTTTTTGTAAACACATACATGATATCAATAGAAAACATCCAGACCGATATAAATAATCATACTTATGAAAACAAATGTTTGTATCGTGCTAGAAATCTACTAATATCGGAAGTAAGGCGGTATGCTAAATCGCTAGACTACCGAGACCGTCAATAAATTTTATTATTTGTTTCTGTCTGTTTGCAGAAGTATAAAACGGTGTTGCAAATAACGACGTTAAACTAACATGATATACTAAATATATAACCTTAAACCCAAACTGTAATGTATATATTGTTGTTCCCTAGGTTACACACCCCTGATGCTGGCCAGCAGGATTGGCAACTATGAGGCAGTGAAAGCGCTGTTGGAGATGGCGCCGTGGTCTGTCAACTATCAGACTCCCAACTCGGGTGATACCGCTCTATACCTCGCCGTTGGTGCAGCATGTATGGATGCTAGTAGTACGGTTTAGTCCACTATTTTGTGTAATTTTATGTAATTGAAATATTTAACTAGCTGTTCCAACCTGTATATAAGAACATCACATGTTTTTTGAAATTCTTGAATACGATTAATAATTCTGGATTTCAATTAATCCTTAAGCTGCATTTAGCACCTTTCCAACAAAGAATAGTTTATTTATTATATAGCCAATAACACCAAGGTATAGAGAAATAGTTTAATAATAAACAAATATTATTTACAGATCGCGGAAATATGACTAAGGTTGCTGACAATTTTGTAAAAACGATAGAGATATTAATAGAAAATGGCGCCGATCCTGCCATAGATAATCACTCCGGAAACAACGTGAACATCCTATTAACGGAGTTCAATATTGGCGAGTTGTCTTTGCTTATAGCAAACAAGTTGACCGCAATCAATTGTTTCAATGGTAACATTCCGCAATCCAAAGTCAACGAAGCGTTTATACTAATAAGGAATAAAGAAGGCAAGCTCAACGTAGAGGAAATATCTCGCGACAGTAAAGACATACGACACGATACAAAACCAACTATATTGGAAAACATAAAAATCGGCACAAAAAAATTACATAACTTAACTAAAAGTAATGTCGTTATTAATCAACTTATAAATGAAACTGATAAAAGTACCAGTAGTAGTAATTTTACAAATAAAATGAAACCGGAGACTTATCAAACTCGCAGTGACACCAATTTTATGAATACATTCAAGAACTTCATAAAAAATAACAATGTGGATACGGCAAATATACCGATTACGGTCGAACATAGTTCTAATGTATTGCCTAAGGTAGAAACTGCGGCTAGCAGTAGTTTCACATATATTTCGTCGCCGCATGTAGAAAAATCGTCACGAAAATGGAATAAACTTCAGAATATTCATGAAACGCCTTTAGGGAGTACTAAATTAGGAGGGAATATTAATACTAATGTAATAATAGAGTTAGAACCCACACAAGACAAATATTATACTAATTTAAGTGCACAAAGCACAGAACCTATTGTCAAAAGAGTAATAAAGCCACGTAAGAGAAATGTCAGAGTATTAGATTCGACGCCTGGACCTTCTGAACAAGTGACAGGTGTAATAAGACACAATCTATCGGAAACCGTCACTGTTCTGAAAAGACCTATGTCCACACCGAAAAAGGATTCGAAAAGGTTAAAATTAGAGTAGTAGTAAACATTTATCAATAAGAGCAGAGGATTATAGTCCCGACACGATCTTATCATGGTTATTCTGTGTTCATTCAAGTTCTTTACGGGATCTGTCTCGTGGTTCCTGTTTTTTTTTGTCACTCATTCTTAGACTTGACTTTCTCAAATAGGTCATGTAGGTCAGGATTAGTCAGTTCACATGTACTTGTGTATTTTCACATCAACATATAGTGTAGTGGTTTCTTTATATATATATATATATATATATATAATTTGTGCACTTGCTTCACAATACATACCATTATAATTATAATTATAATTGTTATTTACATATTATATGCTGCTATTATCACATATAAGATCGTGTCAGGATCAAGTCTCAAATATTAAAATAAACAAAACAATTAGTTCTTATTTATGTTTAATGTGAATACTAAATGGGAATAACATACACAATAATTAAATACAAGTATACGATAACTGACAAGTTTTAAATAGTTAAATATATGTATTTAACTATTTAAAACTATAATTTGTTATTATATGTTTTGAGCAAATATGTTATGTATCATGACTCTGTATTAATATTATATAGGATCACTTTAGTAATACTTATATTCTAGTATTGAAAGTTTTGGTATTATGGTCTTTATATATTTATGTAATTCATTTCACCTGATAATCCCGTAGTAGTGATACCATGATTTATCATAGTAGCTTATTGCAAAAAAGCTACTGAAGCTATTAACTATTATTATATGTATTTATTACCGAAGCTATTAACTAAATAAAATTACAAATATGATATTTAAATAACCTTTGTCTATAGTTTTATCAGTAAATGTGAATCAATCTTAAAAATAGTATTATAGGTAATCCATTAGAAATTAGAACTCCGCTGGTACTGGAATATAATAGATATAGTTATATCTTTCAGATTATATAAGATTGATGGAGAGGACACTATATGACGCTATTCTTCTACTCCCTCTATATATATTATGGAAATAATCTTTTTGTAATCGATCCCAACGTTATACTTAATTAGTTTGTGTGATCTTCAGTTCTCTTAAAATGCACATCATAAAATTCACTTTGATGGAGAGGGTTAGTCGTATAGAGTACACTAAGCTAAAACGGTACAAAGTGAATTGATTACATGTTTGTATTGATTCTGTCTGATTTATTTGATTAAAATAAATCAGACAGATTTATATGTACAGATCATATAGCATTTCTACCCGGAATGATTCATTAAGAATAATTGAATTGTTTACATGGGTACCTACCTATCTATGTAAATTTATACAATTATTATTTAGGGTAGAGTACATTAAATACGTGAGGGGATTTAAAGGGTTTTGAGATTCCCTCCCTTGACTTTGAATGTTGGCTCACGTGAGATTTTCACATACCGACCAATATTGAGATTGATGAGATTTTCACATACCGTTTATTTTGCCTGAATTATTTGTAAAAAAAAGGCTGAATTACATACTATTGGCAAAATAAAATAGTTCATGAATAATTTATTAGCGAATAAGGATTTAGGAAATGTACTCTAGAATTAAAATTTATTATGGAGAAGGTTTTAGTTAATTTATAGCGACTAATGTACTATGTAATTTGTCAATGTTATCTTGTGTATTACTATATATATATATATATATATTGTTATGATTTATGTATTATGTATTATTGTATATATAACTCTATAGCCGTAGTAGTTGCTTGTTAGAATAGATCAACTACCATACAATATATAGAAAAAAGAACTGTATCATTTTTTAAATGTTTAAAATATATGTAAATGAGTGAGTAATTATTTGGATCAAAATTTCTGCATATTTTTAGGTAAACAAGTTTAGCACTACACATTTACTATGAAATTAAATATAGATGATTTTATGCAGTTAATTGTATTAACATATTTATATTACAAAGCAATTTTATTGCTGGTATTAATTTTCGATGTAATAAACTTGTTACTTATAATATAAACACTGATATTTATTCCGATCCTTCAGAATTTGGAATGTTATGTATCTGAATTTTCATTTCATTCATATAAAAATTTCATATAGTTGCGCGAGAATACAATAGTGATAATATGAGATTGTTTTTTTATCTGATCTAATAATAATATGTCCAGACCATTTACACAGCGCCATCTTGTCCCAATATAACACTTATAAACACTTAAGTATTATACATAGAAAACACCCAGAGCGATAAAAATAATGATACTCATGAATACAAATGTTTGTAATTGTAATCCTACGAGGAATCCAACCCGAGTCCATCGGAAGTAAGACGGTGTGCAGAACCGCTAGATCATGCATGTCATTATCTGAGATTTATGAGTATCTTTCTGATAATATTGTGTTTAGATAGAATCTAGATCAGGGCTATTCATAAAACTGTAAAAACCAGGTCAATCTAAAAATGGATTGGGGTGTGTCAGATATAAATATACATCACATGCCGTACTGCTTGGGAATTCCCTGAATAATAGTTACAGACTTGATATCAAATAATCAACCACATAAAGGCAACAATTTTTATTTTATTCTGGATACCATAAAAATAAATTGTCGTTTCAAATTAATTCTATAAAATGAATGTTTTCTTTATTATGTTAACAAAGATTTGTCACAAATAGCGTTGATCTAAATAATTTAAATTGACTATATAATATTATTTCCTTATTTAGCAAAATGATATTTTAATAAGTGTTTATAATATCATATAGACTTTAAATAGGAACATTTTACCCGATTTATTTTTTTTCCCATGTATTTTTTTGCTTGTACAATGTACTTGGAGTTATATATGAAGTTGACGCGTTTACTTTTGGATTTGATAATTTATTGATTAATTAAACATGATATCTGGTAAAGACTTATGTATCAGACTGTAAATATTATTAGTTCTATATCTTTCCATATGATTTGATTATAAATAATTGCATCAAAATCGTATCAGATATAATAATATAAATGCAAATTACAGCGTGAATTTAGATATACTGCCCACTTATAACGCTTTTGTTCTGTTATAACCTACTATATTATTGTGGACGTCAAAACTCCATAAGTTTTTGTCTATCTTCAGATTATTTTACACTCTTCTAGATGAAACGGTATAAATACAATACTAAACTCAGAGTCTATATCGGAAAAGACCGGTCAACGGGCACGAGGAGTAATTATTCGCTTCCTAGCCTAGCGAATAATTACTCTTTAACGATTTGCTTCCACAGTAGAAATGGTATTGAAAGCGATCCTGTTGTTCCCCACCACTGATCCGATATTGTACTGTATAAAGTCCTGTAGACCGTTTCAAAAATGAATCGTAGAGTCAAGAGTAATTGTTCTAAAACGCCCCATAATCTGGCCCCGTAGAGGCTCTCTGCAAATGATGTCGCATAAATATTATGATTTTTTCCTCTTCCCATTGTTACAGTTAAAAGTTAGGCGACTTCACATATTTTGAAATTTGAACTATTTTCGTTGGAGGGAAAGGGTATTGGACGTTGGTAATGTGCACTGGTCAGGTCACCATTGCTATTAATGTACGATGTCCGATTGACCCTCACCCGATTAGAACCTGGATACCATCATGATAAATTCCTGTTGAAGTTTTCACGATGGACTAACTAACCTAACCTCATGTTCATCTTATCAGTGTTATATTTAGCCAACCCCCACATCATTTATGGATGGGCTCTTGACACCATCGTGTTGTGTAATTGCTTTCTTGAATACATCAGTGCATGTAGTTTTATAGCGACTTTGTGTATTGTATTTTTCACATATTGATGGGTAAAATTTTTAATGTAATTTGTACCTAATATATATGTTATTCATTTATCGGCATTTGTTTTATTAATTCTCAACCCTATGGATAGGCAAACACCGGTCCACTGCAGTCCCAATCTTCAGCCCTTCTCGTCAAGTTATTGCCTGCCGTTAGCAAAAATTTGTAAAAAATATATTATATGTATTTGTTAAACAAAACAAAGACGTTATGACTGCAACAATAGTGGATTGGGCTACCAGAGCATGACTGAGGTCGATTCTTTGAGTAAATACATTACTTTGATATAAGACTTTGTTGTCTCGTGTTTTTTATGTGAGAGAGCGCAGAATGCGACACTGACAAAAATAAAAAGCCTTAGGGTATGATGAACATTATAGAACCACCTGGGCAGGAGATAAAATAAAAGTCAAGTAGGGTAGGGCGGGGCTAAAAGGTCCATTTTGCGTATATTGTGTCATAACTACGTACGTTTAAGGTTCCTGGGAAAGACTTTAATAATAATAGAAAGTTTAATCCTTCATCTATAAGTTGCCATAGGTGAATACGGCCAGAATTTACCAATGCGCCCAATATGGGCGATACAAAATGTAATCAAATGGTCCTTTTTACCCCGCAGGTGGGGTAAAAAGGACCAGTCTTGGGGTAAAAAGAACCACGACAACTAAATCATATTTTGTGGTCAAATGTAGGAAATAAATAAAAATAAATAATCTTTATATTTATTATATTTTAATCGACAGATATGTTGCGACCTATTTTGCACTGGTAACTAAGTTATATAATTATAAGGCACAGTTATAATCAGTCTTAATAACAAATCTTTAGGTCTTTGGTCTTTTTGATCTTGATAAAGGTAACATCTTAAAACAATTGTAGTATCTCAAAATCGTACATATTCATAAAAGAAATCGGTAACATCTTTAGCAACTTAAACAATTTAAAAAAATAAGTATTTTCAACAAAAAACTAATAACTAATCTTCATCAGACTGACAATTCTTACATTCGTATGCAAGAGATGATGAGTGATGTTTGGCACACTTATTACAGGTATTACATTGAAGTACCAAACTTGAGCTCGCAGCATTCCAGACAAAGACACTCGTATCTTTTTCTTGATCTTTCTTTTACATTCATTGAACCATAGACACAAATATACAAAAATCTCTATATTCGTTTACAATGTTACCATATAATAACTTAAAAGCCTAATGTCAATACAATTTTTACAATGCTCGTACAATACAGACATGCCTCAGTCAGCGACAGAATGGGTTGTTATGTTACTTAAGTGATTCCGAATTGAAAAAATGGTGCTTGAAGAAAAATAACAAATGGTTTTAATTCTAATAAAATGTTATTATATATCTAAGGTTGATTTTAGCCTTATTTCGTTATTTTACAGATGTATTATCGCGTAAAAGTAGGTACATAGGTTTAGAACCATTTGCTACATCTAGGTGTCAGCAATGAATACATGAATTTATTTTTCTGATAGAAGAATTTATCCCGTCAGCCAGTCCTCCAGCCATCTTACCTACCTATTCAAATTATATTTTACAGCGTAAAATTTGCTCGTGAAAGAGTCGTTTAATAATGTTTGTCTTTCAAACGTCCTTTTATGATAATGAAATCGATTGTTTATAAATTTTATTAATACCTATATGTTTTTTTATAATTACTGAAAATAAAATGATTCAATTAAAGGTTCCACAGTCGGTAGAAAAACGTTGACTACGTGACTTAATACCACTAAACATTTATATTATGTTTCGTAAGTTTAAAAATCGAACAATGAGACTAAGATTTTCGCATTTAAATTTGTAAAATTTACTCGCAAAAACCTTACGTAATCGGCTTACCTTTTACCAACCACACTTTATTTTATTTGTATTTACATTTACGAACTGTCAGAACCTATTACGTTTACAATGTTACCATATAAAATGATGTCAATACAAAAACTACAATACAAATTTAAAGGCCGAATTGAAAAAATGGTGCTTGAAGAAAAATAACAAATGGTTTTAATTCTAATAAAATGTTATTATATATCTAAAGTTGATTTTAGTTATTTTACAATTGTCACCATACATCAGGTGTCAGCAATGAATACATATTTATTTTTTTTAAACAAAAGTCAAAGTCGTTTAATATGTTTGTCACGTCCTTTTTGATATGAAATCGATTGACCTATATGTTGTAATTCAAATTCAAATATTGTATTTCATTTAAATTTGTAAAAACTCGCAAAAATTGTATATTCTTAATTATAGTTATGGAAAAGAATTGCATTATAAATGAGCTACCGCATTATTGAGATTGGTGGTCAAGTAATATAATTCTATAATACACTTCGAATATCGAATTATTGTGACACTTTCTTAAAACTCCATTTTAAACAACTTGGCTAAAATTGTGAACAAGGTCTATAGTTGATATGAAAAAAGACCAATACTTGTCCTGTTCATGGACTCACAATTATTGAGAATTAATATTAGCCAAATTATAAAGTATGGAAAAAGCTTATAATTGACTATCTATATAACTGTCAGCCCTCAAAGCATTTGGCGTGCAGATATTTGGCCACTATATGGGTGTAGTCACCACACCAAACGTTAACGTCATAAAAAACCACATTACAAAAATGTTAAAATAAAGTACATACATAGATACACATGTATACATATATAAGGAATAAAGAAGTCATTTTTATAAAAGTAAATCATTCTAAACATGCTGGAGAAACATTTATCGTTATGAACAAACAAGATCGATGTTATCTTGTACAAAAATTAATGAAACGTAGCATTAAGTATACGGAAATTAATAATCCTCTTAATATGTTAAACGTTAATACTGTTACTCTTATAAAACTTCTGATGGATGGAAACAAAATTATTAGTGAGCGCCCAGAGAATAGAAGAGACGAAGTCATAATAAGGTAGTAGATGAGGTTACTTCGAGAAAGCGTTCTTTTTATCCAGAAGATGCGGTATAAAGTCAAAGAATTTTTTTTTAATTATTCTTTTCTTCTATTTAGAAGTAAAATGAAAATCCTAGCTGGTAGTAAGAGATTACTCTATATGTCAGTGTATGGTCATATTTTCATATTTCTTTATCTAAATTTAGAATAAGTGGTAGTAGAATAACAAAAAGGACAATCATTAGTTGTGAGAGAATTATGGAGACCTCATTGATAAATGTTAAGCACTAAAGTCACGCAGGAATTAAATGGAACAGTTACCTAGACAAGTCTCTTTTCTATATAATTGAAAAATACAAATAAGCTGACGGTTCTCTAGATGCTAAGTGATTACCGTTGCTTGACACCAGCGCTACCCCTCATGCGTTGCCATTCTCTGTGGAGTATGATGTCATGACTCTATATCCTTTAATCTCTTTGTTATGATTAATGCAATTCAAAATTATGGTATAACTTCAGACGCGCAAAGAGGATTTTCATGACATCTGTCATCGTTGTGATGTATTAATAAATGTGTAATTAGTTAAATAAGTTTAACGTTACATTTATTTAAATTAATCATTATAATAATGTGGATTTTTCAATAATGTTTATTACATACTAATTATAACTATATTTGAGTCTACGACAGTTTAATGTTAATACATCTAAAGACGAACCCATATGATTAGACTAGTAACTATAGGTAAATATATTTCTATAAACAAAATTGTAATAAAGAAAAAACCGCCGACCAAAATTTAACTGCTTTCATTATCTTTGTTGATACCCGAGTAGGTGGAACTAGTAAGAGTATTTTATATCACGGCTAAATGTTACGAAATTCATTTTTTTATATAAATGCTTGATTTCTCTTTACATTTTAGGCATAGACCTTTCATAAATTCTTAAGGCCTATGATTAATTGCTTTAAAAATATACAATATGTTCAAGTCTAACCATTGTCGATGTTGAAATGAGGGTACGTGGATTTATTTGGTCGGCGGTAGTATATATTTTTAGTAACCACCCTACCGATAAAATGGCAAACCGAAGCCCAATGGAAGTACAAATTAAAAAATATATTTACAGTTTAACAGTCATGAGATAACAATTCATTAATCGAATTATTCTTTTCAACGACATTAACTTATTAAAAACAATAGAATTACGGAAAAAGATATACATAGTCGCCGAAAACAATATTTCGATTAATAAGGTTGAATCATTTATTTATAACATTTTTTTCATATTTTATAGACTTTAAAATAATCTTATTGTCAATTATATTCATTACTACAATAACAGTTAAATATAATTTGTTCAAATATCAAATATTCGAGTAAATGGAAGATTTATCACAATGTAGTTCTTTGAATATAAGTAAAAAGGGAATTAAAAAAATAAGTAACACAAATGTCATGCATGCTTTATACAAAATTAATGGAGAAATTTCCCATAGATATTTTGTAACTTTTATACACATAACTTTCATCCAAATGATACGGTTTTTATAAGTACAGAAAATGTTTTTGTAATAAGAAATAATTATGTGTAAAGTAATTAAATTACGCATTAATTTAAAATATCTCATTTAATAAGGAAATTTTTCCATTATTTTCTGAAAAAAAAAGTTATAATATTTAATTAATCAATAAAATCCATATAATTCATAATCAATTCAGAAAAGTTGCATGCTATCTAAAATAAATTATAACATTGTGCAAATTACATGTTTTACAAATACTAGAAATATACTAAGATTGCAATTTTTAAAACAAAAATAATAATAAATTAATGTAATATACATACTTACAATATCTACTATTACCTACTTTAAGAAAATAATGTATAGTACCTATAGCAGATACTTAAGTTTTGTATAGGTAATATAAAAATACTTATATACACATACATATATAAAATGAAGTGGAATAATTCAATAAAAAAAACAGTCTCTGCTATTGGGACGGAATGTAGAACACACAACCATTTCTTTCTAAAACTGTTACCTAAAACCACTTACCATAAAGGTTAGATAACTTCGGTTTACTTGTTGGTATTATAAAAAAACCGACTGCGGTGTAATACTAACTTTAAATTTTAAATTATATTATAAATTGTCATATTATGAGATTTAGGAAGAAATTAGTACAATTGATTTCTTTTCATTACTATGACATTTGGTATAACTGCTTTTGAACTAGTTTTTACATGTAAATATTATCATAGAAAAATGATTACTATATATTTTTTTATGACGTTATTTTATTAAAAAACTCAACTTTCTTAATTTAAAATTTGTAAACGAAAATTGCAATACGAATTGCTAATGTAAACGTTTAAGGTACAGTGTGTTCTGTTGTTAAAAGTAGTTTTAACCGCAAAGACATAATATTATACTTCAAAATTATATTTATGTTCATTTTTTAATGAATAAATACGACTAATAGGTTAGTATACGATCACGTGATCACATTTTATAATTCAAATCGACAGTTATTGTACACTGTTTTTAAAGAATACTTAAGCTGAGTGGTTTGTGGATGGCAGATGCTGTTGGTTACCGTCTCCCGAGCTCGAGAGCATCCTTGGATGGTTGTTTGGGAGGTTGTCTCGCTAGCGCAGCGCCCTCTAGCCGCAGTGTGCTTTGACGGTGAGACGACCTGCGGTATTGTTTTGATTATGATGAGATGAAAAAATAAAATATTATATCTTCCGAGGTTTTCTCGAGTGACTACAGCATGAGGTTTTTCAAGAGGTATATTATGGGTCGGCAACGCACTCATGATACCCCTTGTGCTTCAGGCGTCTGTAGGCTACCGTTTACCATCAGATGGGTTGTATGCTTGTTTGCCACATATAAACAAAATATAACTTATTCCTCTGTGAATAAAGAAATTATATACATGATGAACATAATGCTTAATGGCACTCTCTAGTAGTGAAACGCTAGAATATTAAAATAGCAATCTCTAGTGGCTCTATTGCTAGCAATTTACCCATTTACATCGACCTTCACGATTCTCTTCAAATCTAACATACTCATTCTATTATAATTAACTGGTGCCTCATTCCTGACAACTGATGCGCATACGGGTGTATCATTTAATTTTCATACATTGAAAAAGAAGTCCCTAAAACAGTGTATGTAAAGGTGTGTTAATTATTTAAGTGTTCCTTCCGTTCCGCTCCACTAATCTGCTGCAGAAGAAGAGATCTCTTCTTGAGAGGCAAGGGGCGTACCAAAATTCGCCCTGCATCTATCCCCCACTGGGCCTTCTGGGAGGCAGCGCTTCAACTATATGGCCCCGGAAGCGTACTCGTGTACCCACACGCTTCCATAATTTATTCAATTGTGGAAGTGTGTGGGTACCCGAGGCGAAATAGGTCGCTCTAATAGCGAGATGAGGCTGATTCTACACCAACTACAGGGCTAGTCAACGCCGCAGTGGTCGCGATAGAACGGTAACACCACCTCGCGATTCCGGCAAAGGCGCTCGTATGTTCACCGTGTGGTTTTCAGTGGGTAAGATTCCCACACATCTCTCTGGCGGATGGACGGCCTTTGGACGATACTTTCACACGATAAAAAAGTACTTATGTTTAAAATTGATCATCACTTCATCGTGACGAGGATTGAGAGTAGATTAAATAGCAATGGCAAATAACCTGATGAGGCAGGTGACAGCGAGCAGTATGAGCAGCAGCCCCAGCGCAGACAATCCCCAGCCGAGGATGGCGCGCGCGAGAGGCGGGGCGCGTGTGGCGAGCCGCAACAGTGACGTCACTTCCGTTGGCAGCGAGTCGATGCCCTGTCGATATCACATTTTGTTTTATAGTTTACCCGGTTTCACATAGGCCCATTATTTTTAACTTTTAAACTGTTCGACGCTGACGTATTTATTTGGATAAGGATTAACAAGATAGACATATGTTGTCGCGGATTTATCTAAGAACATTTAAATGGTCCTTATTTCATATATATGTTTTGCGTTCAAGAACTATTTATGCAGAGTACGCAGCGGAAGCACTCAAAATGAATAATTTTTGCACCTTCTTTCATTGTTGCTCCGCTCCTATTGGTCGTAGCGTGATGTTATGTAGCCTATAGTATCGAGGATAATATACCTTTATAACAGCGTAAGAATTTTTAAAATTGGTTCAGCAGAATATATGTAAATTTGTTTAAATAATTATGAAGTATTATTAATTAAAGAAAAAACTGACCTCTTCAAACCACATTATGGGAAACACAATGTCCGGGAAGTTGGCGACCTGTTTGATGTCCAAAACCTGTGACACAGCCAAGTTGATCTGAATTCTCGCCCGAGCTCGCATCGCGATACCCATCTCCTGAGAACAAATATTGCAGCAATAAGACTATATTTAATAAAAGTTGTATTGGTATTGGTTGTTTTCTTTTTCTGGTTCTGTAGAAAGACGAGAACACTGCCATGTAAAGTCAAAGGCGATATGTTATGATATGATAATTAAACTCATCCATCTTCCTTAGATTTTGTCAGACCACCAGAACATGGTAGGCAGTGGCATGATTAAAAGGCCCTAAACAGACTGCGTAGACATGTAGGTCGCTGTAGGCATACTTTCTGTAATGGGGTATTGCTGCCCAGGAGGCTTACGACCGCAGGGCTCTATCCCAAACCACGTCCCTTATAGATTTGTTGAGTTATAATTATTATTAAAGGTAGCCTACACACACTATCACTGATCATCGAATTATAAACATACCGGCTGCACGTCAATGAAGAGTCTATGATCTTCAGGGACAGGTGGCGAAATGCCCTCCACAGCCTCGCGGAGCGCTGGATCCGCCAGGTAAAAGTGTGGGAACGATAGCATTATTGGTGAATCTGTAAAGGTAGACGTAACGAGCCTTAAATGAAAGTATTAATTTAACTATCTACGCAAAGAGAATGTATAAAGGAATATCGCGATATTAAAATAATATTTCTAAGATGATATGTCTAATTTTATGCATTGTTTATTGCAGTAGATATTCAAATCAAATATCTTTATTCATGTTCAATGTTCAATTGCAGGTAGGTACTTGTGACAAGTTAAATTTAACGACAATTCTTAAAGTAGTTTGAATCAAGATGGACTGATTAGAAACCCTGGTCTCACTCTTTTCAAATACCATTATAGCAATTAACCATTCAGGTCGTGGTTAATTTCTGGCGAATTTATCATAATGACTATCTGATATGATATAAGATATAATGACTAACTGATATGATCTTCACTATTCGTTGCATTAAAAAAAGTCCTTATAGGTTATTTTTGTACTATATTCTTACCGTATTGGCAAAGTGATACGTTGAACAGTCCGTTGGGGGCGCAGGGCGGGCCGGCCGGACAGAAACAGCGGTTGTGTTCATCCGCAGCGAACACGTCTTCGGGCGGCGTGAAACGGTAGCCCTCTACTCCTGCAGACGTCTCCACGTCCTCTAAGTATCTGTAACACCATTATATTAGGACGCTTTTCGTGTATTTATTTCTATATAACTTTTATACAATTTAAATATAGTGATACTGAAGCAGATCTTGTACAACGCCTTTAGTCGCCAAGCAGCCTGCATTGGCGGTTGTGTTTCATTTTGAATTGTGAGATAATGTAATAGTAAGGCATGACACTTTAGTCTTTTGGAATTGGAATGTATAAGGGGTACGTTCGTAACTTAACAATGTGATGTCTATGGTGCAGTTCAAGCATATAGGCACCGTTTACCATTTACCAGGTAGGCCACCAGTTTGTTTACCATTCCATTGTTACCCAAGTTCCCAGTTACATAAAAAAGAAGTTACACTGATACTAATAATAACTTGTCGTACTTCTTTACCAGTTGGCACGAAATAATTTGAAGAGTTTTCCATTTATACAACTTAATTAGTGTTGTGGTGCATGAGAAACGTATTCTCAATGCGAGTGACTGTTCGTTCGTAGCCACAAATACAATGGGCACTAAAACGTGTTATGCAACCATCGCGATCGCTTTGTAGCGGCCTCACGGAGCACCGTGCGTGCGAATTGTTCCAAATACAGTCATGTGGTGTTAAATTCTATCTTTTAGCGATTTGATGTACAGTTCGAAGAAAAACAAAGAAGTAGAGAATCACACGACTGTTTCTGTGGAAGACCTTACCGTTTTCAAGGAATTCTCGAAAGAAATTATATTTTATGTGGTTAGGGAAAATTTAATTCTCTAGGTTTACCGCCTTGCACTGTTAATTCTAATTGATTAGTCAATGTCTACATCTACTTAGTAGTTAAATACATGTTTACATTTTTTATGATATTGTTCTTTTTCCTGATTTTAATTTGAAAGATTTAGAAATGTTAAATTATCATCAAAAGTTTTTTAGTCGTATGTAACTGTGTTCTCCTTACTTCTGATTCTGATGAATTTTAAAGAAAGAAATATAGTAACATTATATTGGATTATAGTAGAGTTTATTATTTATGAAGATAATATATATTATATTTTTTCTCAGGAGCTCATATTTAATATTCTTTATGCAAACCAGATATATTATAAAGTTTTCGTCACTTTCTATTTCATTTATGGATACATTAATTTATGAGTCTAGTTTATGATATAATACATTATGATATTTAACAATATGACTGACTCAATATCGGCTTAAAGTCACGAGCTTAATTTAAAAACTACATAAATACTGTGAGTCTTTTTTATACTAGTGCGTCGAGTTAACTGTCGTAATGATCACTGTTATATCATTAAGAACAATACACCACTCTCGATATGATACCGTAGAGATTCCAAGTAATATGAGCACCACAGCCTTTTACTGTACGAACGATAACAGAATTATACACGCGTTCACCTTTGATAACATGGATTACGCTTATTTAAGAACGTAAATAAAATGATACGTATACTACCATTATATTTTTAATTTAATCAAATGCATTCTCTTTTACGTTATGAGAGTATGTATTTAAATACGCTTCATTTCAATTAGTATAGTTATGATGCCAACCATTAATTATTAGATATGTTTTTGTAATGTATGTGTAAATAAGTATATGTATGTTTGTTTATAATAGTTGCCAATAAACATTTTTCTTCCTTTTTTCCTATAGCGTATAAGAGAAGTGCAATAACAAACTATTAGTTCGCTGTCTGCATTGTCTTTGGTACCTATATCAGATATCAGGTATACCTAATATTTGTTAGTATATGTGTCATATATTGCTAACAATTGCCATATTGGCTAGTCACATTGACGTAAATGCGGTACATAAGAGATGGACGTAAATAACCCTTGGAAACGATTCCTGTTGTATTCGTCACGACGGACTAACTGACTAGTGTGAATTCATTTTCATTCTACTATCTAAGATCAATAAAATCAATGATAATAATTGATGCCCAGCCGGCCATAGAGCAGATGACACTACTTCATCATCATCCGATTAAAAAATATTTAATTATGATTATTCCAAAGACAAAAGGAAAACTTACTTAAGAGGGAGTAGTCGACACAGATCCTTATCGTAAACTCTCAACGTGTCATTTTTGGTGATGTGCGGTGGGAATATGGAGCCGTCTGACCCAGATATACTATTGCATTGGTCTGTGGTCCAATGGGGTAGTCTTTCTCGCATGTTGTACCGCTGGAATATACCGTAGTTGGCCATGTCGTCTGCGCCAGTGAACATAGTCACCACATCTGGTGATGTACCGTTTTTCTGAAAAGAACATAAAATAACATATTTATTGATGTCTCATCATATACTAATTACATTTAAGTAGTATTCTGTAAAGGGCAAATGAAATTGGTGGAATATGGGAAACGTCGATTGTAATCATGAATTACACGTTGCCACTGTTGAGGACAAACGTATATGCTGTATATGTATATTTTGCCTGCCACTGCATTATCTATTTTATATTTTAGATCCAAATGCAACAATCAATGCATTGCTGTTTAAAGGCAGCACTAGATAGCTTATCTATTTAGACGAGGTACACGTGACTACATCAACAATGCCAGTTCATTAACATCTCATTAAAGGAACTACACGAAGGAAGGCATTAATTCACTGTTATCACGTTATACACATCGTTAGGTAGTTTACAGTAGATATTATTTGGAGTTCTCTATTTCTGGCACCGTATTTATTATCAGTATAAAAAATATATTTTATTTTTTATACTTATAAGTTTGTTTTAAATACCACACCACTGAAGTCCATATTGACATTGGACATAACTGACGATGACGTATCATTATCAGGCAAAATGTAGGTACCAATACCGAGTACAGGAGATATTGTCAGTTTCCGGAACCAACACATATTGGAGTCGAGAGAAAGTGGAGGAAGCGAATCATGGATATTTAAGTTGATGACGTATTTATACCAGTAGCTTAGTCATCTTTAGGTTCTTTATGTTTTAATGAAGTAAAATGATTGTTATCATCAATATATATCAATATGAATATCAATATATCAATTTGAATGCAGTTTACATCAAGAACTGAAGCGGAAAACAAGTTTTAACTCTTTTCTCAAATTATATCGGAAGTAGTAAATGTGGCAGTTTAGTCTGAATACACTGATAACCAGCATTTATGTCACTTACAAACCTTAACAATGAAATACATTGTCTTATCCTATCTTAAGATGTTGTGCGATAGCTTCTTTACTCACACACAATTAAGAACTTACCCCATACAACAGTCCAAATTCTTCATACGGGAGTTTTTGTTCTTTGGATACGACGTCTTTGGCTAGTTTGAGCAGCGGGTCTTCATATCCCCAGAGTAACTGACCAACTGATACCTCCACGAAGGGTTTGATCTTGAGGATGTCCATGATTGATGCCATGGCGAGACGTAAGAACCGCGCTGCGTGCTTGGACTGTGAGGTGGCGCTCTGAAATGAAGTAATACACATAATTAATACTAAAACGCAATTTCTAGAAGTTGTGCTGGGTTGCTAACAATTAATAACAATATTTACTGAAAAATTATGGCTTCTTTACGGAGCATAAAACAAAGTCGCCGCCTCTGTCTGTACGCTTAGAACTTTTAAACTACGCAACAGAATCTAAAGCAGTTTTCAGCATATATAGTGATTGCACTAATAGCTTAATGTATATAGTATATGAATATTATAATACAGAAAAGACGAAATTGAATGAATCGTAGGGCACCCGCGTGAAGCAAGGGCGGATCCCTAGTTTTTTATAAATAAATATTAACGAACATTAAGGGGGTCTTCCTATGTGACGGCCTGTTTTTTAGGGATATTTTAGGATTTTTTTTCTACGACCAGTAAATATTTAGAGCTTCAAGTTTTTTATCATTTATTAACACATATTTGGACAGTATAAATATAAAATTTCAGCTAAAAATATTCAGTCAAACTAGAGTTACAGCGCTCTGAACACCCCCGCCTCGAAAAAAAGAGCTCCCACTTCCTCCACGATTCCGGCTGATCGGCTTATCTGAAAAAAAAAAAACGGCGTTTTAATTTGTAGGCTTAAAAGCACGGAATGACCTATAATCAAATGAATATAAAAAAAATTGGATTTTTGATAGACATTTGAAATAAAAGTTGCAAATTAGGCGTTTTTTTTTTGTTTTTTGCTATAAAAAAATCGAAGTTTTGAAAATTTTCGATTGATAATAGTTCATTCCATGCGTTTACATATATTGAGTGTGCCCTGTAAATTTCAAGTAATTCGGTCCAGCCGTTTCTGAGATACAATGGAGGAAAGTTTGAAAAACACAGTTTTGAGAAAAACGCGTTTAAAGTTTCAAGTCCGTTAAAAACTATTAAAATATCAACTTACTCTCAATCGGCGATGCCTGGTCCATAGAGTATTCCTTCCTCTTCCTCGTGAAACTCTTTTAAAGCAGATTGTTCAGCTCTTGAGTCAATCCTGGCTTGTTTAACGACATCACTTACGCGCCGCTCAGAGCGTAAGATTCGCTTTTCATCCCGTTTCTCAACATACGCTTGGGCTTCACGACCAACAGGGCATCCCATAATCGACATAACTTTTAAAATACCTTGAAAACCTTCATTAAAGATAATAACTGCTAAGTAGCTAGCAATTTCAACAACTTTGGGACCAGAATGAAGATGTTTAGGAGCGAAAGTCCAAATCAAAGAATTCAAAGATTCGTTATTGTTTTGTGTCTCTGCTCCTAAACAACGAATTAATAATTCGTCTTTCGATAAATCTTCGAAAACCGGTTTGATAGCTTCTTGGACTTGCGGAATTAGAGGTGGTTTATCGTGATGAAATTGGTCCAGTTCATTATTAGCTTCAGCCTTACGCCATTTACTGTCTTCGCCTTCTGGACAAAATTGATGCTGAGGGTTTTCATCAGAAGAACATTTGTGATAGTACGTTGCCCAAACTTCCTTTCTCATATCTTCAAGCGAATCTGGATGGCGTCGAATTGCTAATCCGTAGAATTTTGTAATTTCTTGGATAACTTTATCAGTAAGTTTACCTGCTCCTTTTCCTCCTATTCCTTTATTGGTTTTATCCTTTTTAACAGCCCGAAGTCGTGTTCCCATCCTCTTTTCTACGTGACCCACACAGTCTTTTTTTGTTACCGCAGTATCTCCATACGGTTTAGTATCTAGGATGCCCTTGAAAGTTTTGCTGTCACCGTCGCCAATGTATGTTAGATACTTTACGCCATATTTTTCTACAGACCTCAGAAACATTTTCGTGATGGCACTTATTTCCATTTTACCGGAACTTCCGGAATGGTTTATGGTGCATTCATCTACATGCGTTTCATACCACATCTCGTATTCTAAAGGATTTGTTTTTTTTTATTTTTCCACAAATTACATCCACCACAAAAACTACTCATGACCATGACATCTAAAACTTTCCCAGTGTTGCCGATCAACGTAGATACGCCGAGCAGAGATGAAAAGCCTCTTTTCTTCCAAGTACCGTCACCTGACACAATCAATTCATCCTGTGGTTTTCCTGATTCTTCATTCATAGTTTTTTCTTGCGTAACAGCGAATGCCAATAATATCACACAGTGAAGATGTAGCAATATGAATGTTTTCCAGTAGTGCAGTATAAGTAGAATTTGCAACACCCGAACACATGTCCATAAAGCTACAGAAAAGATTTACTCCTTCTTGACCAACTCCCAATAATCGCATCGCAAATACAAACCGACGATTAACCTCAAATGCATTTCCGATCAACGGGCCTGAGTTTATAACTGTCTGTTTTTCACACTCACACGATAAAATAATTTTAAAGCCTAGGCCTCGGAAACTTGATCGCGAAATAGACACGTCACTTTTACAAGTTTTACATATAACTATTTCAGAGATTGCAGCAAATACAGAAACAAACTCCAAAATGCAATATGCGAAATTCGAAGCGATGGGAACATTCATGTTCATGTTATTTTTAAGTTTTTTGGCCGAAGCTGATGTAAATACCGTATCATTTTGGTAAAAACGGTTTCCACTAAACTTTCTTTTTTTACTACGACCAGGATGAACATTTCCACTCGTACTTCCTTTCTCATTATGAAAAAAAATAATTTGTAGCTGTTGCTCTCTTCGAAGTTCAACCAAGACTAAAATAACTTCGGTAAAATATTATAACAATAGAAATTTCTGTAAACAAATATATTAATAAAAGGGAGGCCAGGTATAAAGCCGACGGTACACAATAGGCCCGGTCTCTAACTGCCAACTCACCGCTCCGAACCGCTCTTTCTTTTACCTGGTGTATCTTTAAAACGACTTCGAATTTTCTAAAATCGCTTTACTACCGTATTCTAGACATGTTAAGGGAGCAATTTATGAAAAAAAAAAAAATCGATTTTTTCAACCCATCACATAGGAAGACCCCCTTAAAAGCCTTTAATTCAGAATAATTTAAGGAATTCAGAATAATAAGGAAATAAGAAGTCACATCAATTATAACCTTTCGAAGGTTATGAACAGTAACTTCCGTCAAGAACCTTTAATTTAAACATTAAACATATTTGGTCACATCTGGATTCCGTTGGTAATTTTCGCTTGAAGTTAAACCACTTTTTAAAGTGAAAGATCATGACCCATTCATCACTACAAGTTCAATCGTACTCAATTCATGAAGTTGAATCACTTAAAAAGTATTATAAATAAATACTTTGCAATTCAATGTTCAAATAAGTATAGATTCCTGGAGTCGTAAAGGTTTTTAAATTTTTATTCCTTTTAAGTTAACTTAATACAGTAATTTCATTACTATTTTATTCATTATATTATTTGACTTTTTATAATAAATCTTTTTCTATATTCTCTATTCTCATTAAAATTTTATATTAGGTATAGGTACATTTTCACAAACTTTATTTGCACTAACTTTGATCTATTTAACGTAGTTCCTTTTTTTAGACAATTGATAGCCTACTTTTGCCTTTGTAATTACAGTCTAACTTAGTCTATCTGGATCTTTTTACCCCGGTAGGGATAATGTTTTTAACATTAACTATGACGTGTATGAGATTAAGCAAGAGCCTATATAAATAAATCTTTTTTTAATTGATTTGATTAAATTGAATGAAGATTTATCGTTTAGATAATTAGTCTTAAAAACGTAAAGACACATCTTTGCATTTATAATATAAATATATATCAATACAAATTAATTGACATTTTCCGAAATTATAAAAATAGTAATTGTTGACTGTTTGTAAGGTGATAGAGCAGTGTGACAAATATATTGTCACATCATTATTTTCGATACTAATGAATATCGATGTACGATACCGTTAATGAGTAGAATACTTGTATATTGTAGCACGTTAATGATAACGGGTTATTATGGTATATTGAGGATAAATGTATCTCCTATTTGTCTAGCACTATCTGTTCCATTATGGATCTAAACTATCTATCTACAGTCCAACTCTAACACTCACAAAAGAAATCTAAATCAGTCTGCACTAAAAAAATATCATATAAACGATCTATATTTTAGAAACAAAATATCGTACAATATTTTTCAGTGACAGACTTAAATAGATTAGCTATTTATATCTTTATATATGTAACTAAAAAAATAGATGATTATTACTAAACTTATATATTTAATACAACGGTTTATACATAGACAGAAAACAATAATCTTTATATATAATATGTATGTATATAAAATTTAAGTCTATATAATTAATAAACAATGTATAATTTTCCTCTTTAAAAAAACAAGCCCTTTTGTCAGTCCACAAAAGGTTACTTCCCGGACACCTTGACAACTTTAAGATCAGTTCAGAGGTCGAGGTGGCAAGGTTTTATGTCGACGATGGCGCATACTATCTTATGGCACTATACCATTCATTAAAATGATAATTCATTGTATGTTGGAATGTCATTAGTGTTGGCTGTGACGTCAATGAATATCTAATAGCTTTTCAATTAGTTTACATAATAAATATATACATAGATACCTAAAAGTACCCACAGGCAATATATGTATACATATAAGAAGACAGTATTTAATTTAAATCATTGGAATTCCTATTCCTTCCTATTTCATATCGGTTTAAAATAAAAAAATAATAATTCTGTTTTTCAAAAAAACATATTTTTTGCAAAAAAAATTAGTCATACTATGCATCTAAACTGCTTGGCAGTTTGTGTGTAGCACAAGCTCCTAACCTATTAATATACCAGAGGAAACATATAACTGTGAAAAGGACGTCATAAAAATCCTTATATATGCTAATTACAAACAAATATTGATTTATATTTATCACAAACAGATTAGGTGTCAGGTGCGGACCAAGACTTAAAAAAAAATCTAGAAGTGTCATTTTATCAAATTTAAACTCATCTAATAACTCCCACCTGCTAAGTACGTCACTTGGTGACTGTTTTTTTTACTG